TTACCTAGTACTCGTTTCATAACAACTGCATTACTTACTCGGTGGTCCCAGGATATACGAGCGATGTTTCGAAGACACCTATGGTCAAATACTAGTAATCTACGAATATTCTCTACTCTTACTGGCCATGTTTCACTGCCATAAAGTAAGACGGAACGAACTGCTGCGCAGTAAACACGTCCTCTAAAAGGACGTCAACGACAAAGTTAAACAAGAATGGAGAGAGTGGACAGCCCTGACGAACACCACTTGAGGTAATCAGTTCTGATGACAGTTCACCATAAGCTCTCACTCGACCAGTTGTGTTCGAGTAGAGAGCCTTTATAAGGTTAATGTACTTCTTTGGTACTCCCTTCAGTGACAAACACTGCCATAGAACCTCACGATCAACAGAGTCAAATACCTCCTTAAGGTCGAGAAATACTACCATTGTGGGGCGTCTGAATGTGTGTCTATGTTCTAGCACCTGACGTAATGTGAATATTTGTTCAATACAACCACGTCCAGGTCGAAAACCAGCCTGGTTTTCTCTAGTCTGCTCTTCACGAGCTTAGGTTAGACGTCGAAGTATTATTGAAGCTAATATTTTAGACACTATATTAGTCAAACTAATTCCTCTGTGATTGTCACAGGAGGACTTTTGTCCTTTCTTATAGACTGGCACAATCAGTGATTGAGACCAGTCAGATGGGATTACGTCCATTTCCCAGATTCTACCTAAGACCTCAGTCAATCTCGCTGCTAATACTGGACCGCCATCCTTAAAAATATCAGGGGTAAACCTGTCAGGGCCTGCTGCTCTCCCACGCTTCAGATTTCCTATAGCTTTTTCAACTTCGTAAAGAGTCGGAGGACTTGCATCAACTTGCCATTCAGGTCGACTGGGGATCGTGGGAAACCGAAGTGTGGCTGAAGGCCAGTTGAACTGATCCCTAAAGTATTCTGCCCATCGATCCAATCTCCTGGATTGAGAATGAATAATATGTCCATCTTTCTCTGCGATTGTTTCGCTAACAGTTGGGTTCCTAATACCGGTTTCCTTAACAAGTCTGAACAGTTGCCTGTTGTTACCTATTGCCGCTGCCTTTTCCATCTCTCTTGCTTTCGCTACCCACCACTGTTCACGATCTTTGCGTAGGCTTCTAGTCAGCTTACGCTTAAGCTGACTCCGCTCTTCGTTATGTTCAGAGCCAGATGGAATGAGTTTTCGAGCATCTATCAGTGCGGTAGATGCTGCTGAGATCCAGCGTTTCTCCCTAACCTTATGGTTTACCGTACTTGCAGACATCACTGCTGTTTCTACAGCTTTTCGGATGTCATTCCACGCTGCCTCGGGGTGGGCGTCACTTACATGGCTGCCTAACTGTTTTTCTAGATGTTCCTGAAATATACTCTTAGCTTGACTATCATTAAGTAGGACCCTAAGGGGTTTCCTTGCAGCATGTTTCCTACGTCCAGTAAGACGTAGACAAATACGCGCTCGCACTAGAGCATGATCTGAGTCTAAGCATGTGCTCCAGAATGAGCGACAGTCTTCTATCGAGCCCCTCCATCGGTGGCTGATAGCGATGTGATCTATTTGGGTCCAGCGTTGAGACGAATTAGGGGGTCGCCATGTTAAAAGATGTTTTTCCTTATGCTTAAAGTTAGTGTTTGCAAGAAACAGGCGGTTATCTGAGCATAGCTGCAACAGACGGTCGCCGTTATCTGTTCTTTGAACCGCGACACCATGAGATCCACCCAGGTGTCTTTCCTTTTCGCTTAGTTTACCTACTTGAGCATTAAAGTCACCAGCCACTATTACTACATCTGAACGCCTAGCTTTTCGGAGAAGGTCGGAAAGCTTTCTGTAAAACTCATCTTTTACATCATCTGAGCTGCAGTCAGTGGGAGAGTAGGTAGAGACGACGAAGAGGCAACGACTAGTGTCCCTGTTCCGTTTAGTCGGACAGCACACAAACGACTGTCCATTGGGATCCAGTCTAAGAGAGCTAGTTCTGCCCTAGGACTCAATGCTATACCTACGCCAGCGAGGCCACGAGAAGCAGCATCAGGGCTTCCAGATACACGAAGCGTAAATCGAGTTGGTTCGTTACTTTGACATCGTGCGGTCAAATGAATGACACTACTCGGATCTTGTGTGCGCGTTTCGGAGACGCAGCACACATCGATGGAGCGAGATTCTAAGGTCTTAGCTAAGGAAGCCTGTTGTCCTATTCGGCACAGTGTTCGGACGTTGAAAGCTCCTACGTGTAGTTTAGAGCGTGGTTTCAGGAGACCATGAATAACGTTCCGCGTACTCTAATCGTTTGCACTAGCGGGGCGAGGTGATAAAGGGACGTGAGAAGAGTTAGTCGTGGAGATGAGAGAGTTATTAGGAGGTGTAGGAAGGATTTGAATGTGACCAATTTGGTCTCGTGTGCTGTTACGGGTATGAGGGCTGATATCACTTCCCGGTTGCCCACACCGTGGAAGGGTATTTCTTGAGGGACCTGAAAAGGAAATCGGATTAGTGTTGGTCTTAGCGACCTGAGTGCGTGACCGCAGAGCCCAAGGGACAACTGCTTGAGGCCGGTCGCGCACGGCCTTTTTGTGGGAGGTTTTTAATGTGTTAGCTCCGTTCTTCAAAGGGCCTTACCGCCGGAGACGGAAATCCGTGGGGTAAGGTGAGGTGTGACATTTTTAGGATCGACCTTTTCTAACCCCTTTCTTCCTTGTGAGAAGGCAGCATCGCTGTAGATGCTGGTTGTCCGAGGGAAACACCTTACTGCTGTCACACCTCTGTACAGTCAGCAGTACGACTTCACCCTCAGACCTTGAGTTGCTGCTTTTAGTCTTACCGTTCTCCAATCGACCTGCCTGGCATGGTAGAACCTGCAGGAACATGTGTTCCAGCCAATATAGCTCGGTTGGGTCATCACGACAGGCAAGCCCGACCACCACGTCAAGGTAGCATCTACGGTGGGGACAACCTCTTCTAACATGGTCTTAGTGTATTAAAATTTTTCTCTTGTTCCTTTACAGCCATCTGCCTCACCTTCCATCTTCCCTTTAAATCTTCTACCCCTAACTGGTATGTTTTTATTTCCGTGATCATTCCGATAACATTTCATCTCAATTTTAGCATTTTATCTTATCATGCTGAGCCATCCTTTCCCAATGATAATTTCCCTATCTTTTAATGAATACTTAAGCCATTAACAATCAAACGATTATTAAACTTTCCTTGTTTTAAATTTTTTTTAATACCTTTGTTTATTTAACCTCACTGTCACCATGTTTAACTGAAGTTTATTATCAGTATTTTATCATCCTGTAAAAAATGCCCCCAAATGCCCTGGTATGGCCGAGAGTGGGGTGGGCCCGCCCTCCCTCTCGAAATGCTCTCGCATGGCCACGCGTATACAGCCTCTGTCAGGGAAGTCCTACTCACTGCCTTCTCGTGGCATTACTGTTGTTTACGAAAATGAGAGGACGAAAAGCGAATGTCTGGCGCTTTAACCGGACCCCAAACCAATGATGCACATGGGCTCCAGTATCCTAAAGGAACAAATAGCGTGTGAACCAATCGTTGGTCACCGGCTACCATGGGACTGCATCTCCTTACGATGCTCCGCTGCCTTGTCGGTCAGACGTCCAGGTCGAAGGCTCGGGGTGTGGCCCCCTAAGAAAACCACCTGCTTCGGTTTGGGCACCCGGTCAGTATCACAGCCCTCACACAAATCAATTGAGATTCGTGTGGCGCATATGTACTTGGTGCCTCCCTGTACCTATACTTATGTGTTAAAATAAATAAATATGAGAGACATCCTGTAAAAATAAGTATATATATTTGCGATTGTACAGCTTTGAAAATGAATTCTCCATAAAGAGAACTCTTCTCTGAACTAATCTTTCTTAGTTGAATTATGATGCGTCAATTGTTAAGTTATCGTCTTTGTGTCGGTTCTGTGAAGCTTGAATTAGTCAGGATTAGTGAACTTACAAGTGCTTATGGGGATAAGTGAGTCAAGTACGTTAGTCATTCTGTTAATACTATCGTGAAATTTGTTCTGGGTAGTTTTCCCTTATTGTTGCTAATTGTATGCGGACAATTAATTGTAGTTATCATCGAATATGTAACTACAATGAACCCAGTTTTATAAAATTTTACCGTGATATGTAAGAGCTGTATAGGGGTGGTTTTGTCGTTTCATCACGACTCCTTGGTTGGGGTTTTCAAAGTGGTGCAGTTCAGTGGCTTGAGACGTTATGAGGTGTGGCTCAGAGTTGAAGTCAGTGGTGGTCCTGTTGTAGTTTTTTCTACATCCTTCGTGAAAATGAAGAGTTCCTTTAACTGAAAGAATTCTACTTAGTTGTATTTTTTGTCATAACTATCTTCTATTATAATCCATTCTCGTTTAGTTGCTTTATTGATCATTTGTTTATCCATCCATTGTCTCATCCGTCCTAGTGATTTATCTTTTTGGACGCTTCACTACACTCGACTAGTTCCCAGATTAAAACAAATGAAAAAAAAAAAGTAAATACTTTCCAAAGTAAACAGTAAGTGGTCAGTATAATTAGAAAATATATTCACATATATGGGTATAGCAACTTAAACCTGTGTACATACGTACCATATTCGACTTTGTGGCTGACTAAATTATATATATATATATATATATATATATATATATATATATATATATATATTCTGCGGTTTTTTGCAGCTTGTCCGCTAGTAGTTACTGAAAATGGATCAACTGATGCACTGAAATGTGATCCTATTTGAAACAATTTGGTGAATTCTCAGTCATGCTGATACCATCTGTTCACAATTTCATTGTATTACTTGTGCGGCGTATATTTTGGTTTCTATTTGTATTGATGTATTCTAAAATATATAGGTGTTTTATTAGGAGTTTTATTTACTTTCTGGTACTTGGATCTTTTTGAAAGATTTCTTGTCACTTGTTTCAGTTGTTATAAACTTTCCAATGTCTGAGCATTGAAGTAAAATGGAAATACCTGTATCTGATTTGTGTTTTGGAATTACTTGTAAAGTTGAACAACCAATGGGGTTGGATGGTGTGGTCTGCAAATCATCAAATGAATTCATATCAAATAATTTCAACATTGGGCTTGGAAACTACATAAAAGGTAGGTGGTTACTTTTATACTAGTGCAACATGTTATAAGAAACCTATAGGTATACATAGAAAATGCTTGAGAGAAATATACTGATGCTTGCTACCTGATCAGTCCTAATTTATGTTACATTACCCGTCATCCGTAGGTTTTCTCGAAAGTCATGATGCACTTTTATGTTAGTCTGTTCATACCGGAAAGTCCATTAACTTATAACTACTAACATCACCGCTCACTGTTCAACCTCATTGTGTCAAATGAATGAGGTAAGGTCAGTAACAATGATTTACTTTTAACGCCAACAGCTTTATGCAAGTTCGTTGAGTTAGAAAAAAACTATCAAAGTATATAGCCACTCGTTGATAAGTACTTACGTCAGTAAATTGTTGTTTGGTGGAATAACATATGAAATATTCGATGACGAAATAGACAATTAAACAGTTGGAGGATATGAGTGTCGTTGTTTGCTCAATCACTAACAAGCAACCAAATGCCCTGGTACGGCCGAGAGTGGGGAGGGTCTGCTCTCTGTTTCTCGAAATGCTTTCACATGACCACGCGTATACAGCCACTACCACGGAAGTCCTACTCACTGCCTTCTCGCGAGGGAGTGTTGTTTACGAAATTGACAGGACGAAAAGCGAATGTCCGTCGCTTTAGCAGGTAGGTGGATATGGAGGATCTACCGAGAGAAGTTGGAAAACCTTGATTCCAAACCGATGGTACACATGGGTTGCTGCAGGATCCTGAAGGAACAAATGGTGTATGAACCAATCGTTGGTCACTGGCTACCATCGGACTGTATCTCCTGACGTTGCTCCACTGCCTTGTGGATTACACTTTTATATCGAAGGCTCCTGGTATGGTTCCCTAGGAAAAGCACCTGCTTTGGTTTTGGCACACGGGCAGTATCATAGCCCACACACAAATCAAGTGACTTTTGTGACGCATATGTATTGAGTGCCCCTTTGTACTAATATTTGCGTTAAAATAAATGAATAAATAAAAGAGGTCGTCCTATTCAAAATTAACTTGAAGTAGGATCAGTCACGGATTTGAAAAGTAATTTTTAAATACCATGTATTTGGTCCATTTATCTATTTCTACTTTCTTTCAATTTTACATTTTTTTGTTAAGTTTGTTTCTTAAGCCATCTTAAGTATTTTCACTAGTCATGTGAACAATTGATAACATAGAACAGCAAATATCTTCCAGATACATTCATATGAATTCAATATTACAGTTTATAATATTTTTCTCAAGTACGTTGCGATAATACCTTAATATGACAATAAAACTAGTCACGTTATATCAGATCCAGTGTTCACGACCTAGAATAGTGTCAAATTAACACTAGATAATACTCCATCCAAGGAGTCACTCTCAGTGAGTCCGGAGTATAATTCAGTTAGAGGAAAGAAAATCATATTGCATAGTCAGTAGGCTAAGTGCCTGTCTGTCCAATCATATTTTACTTTCAACACCACATATCAGAATTATTATTGTTATCTGATTGTTTTGTGGGTATTTGAACGTCACTCACACATTTATTTACTTATTTATTTTAACACATAGGTATTGGTACAAGGCGGCACCAAATACATATGCGCCACACGAATCTCAATTGATTTGTTTGAGGGCTGTGATACTGCCCGGGTGCCCAAACCGAAGCAGGTGGTTTTCTTAGGGGGCCACACCCCGAGCCTTCGACCTGGACGTCTGACCCACAAGGCAGTGTAGCACACATTTATACTTGTTATATTGTGATAAACAATACAGGCATCTCATTAACTTTATCACAATAAGCTAGTGTAATGCGGTGAAGTGACCTAATGCAAATCTGTGCTAGGTCGACAAAATATTGTAATGTGTCTGACACTTTTAATGTGAACCTTAATTCGGAGATAAAAGGGTAGAAACAGTTGCACGAATATTAGTAAAATACTAAAAATGTAGTGGGTTGAAATAAGTGAGGTACGAAATAACACATTGTATAAGGCGTAAGTGTAAACGCATAGTCAATTCTAATATTAAGTGATTAAAGGGAATCGCCAAGAAACTCTAGGCTTGAGTCTCATGTTATATGACGCTCCTTAGTTGCGACTAGATTGGCTCAGTAGTACTGATATCTGTCATTGTGACACTGATTGACCAGGACTGAAGTCCAACAGGAAGCGTCAGTCCCATCAAGAATGTGCAGGTAAATCGAGTGGCAATTCACACAGAATTCTGATTCATGGTTTCTTAAAGATTTCATGCAATCAACTAACCATCAGTGCTTGCAACTCGCGGTTAAAGCTAGTAACTACATTGTAAAGATGATCATTACTAACAGACTAGAAAAACATGTTATTGGCTGCACACCATTCAGTGACCGCTCATTGTTAGTAATAAATCCATCTTCAATTATAGATGACAGTTACGTTATTAACTATATTATCTATCGTTTGACTATATATTCTGCATTCTTATAGATATATTTGTTTTTAGCGGAAGAATGTAATTATGATAACACTACAGATGACAGCCTAATAGATAATAAGTTAGGAATTTTACGAGATAATCAATCGTTGTATTTGGAGGATAGTTTTAAACGTAAGTGTTATTACAGTTTATTACTTTCAATAATTTTTTGAATTATATAATTATATCAAGATACGTATACATGTTTTAGGGGTTTGAATCATTTAAGATTGTACATTGCTTCTCGATTGATTCTGAGTTCTGGATAAATGAAAAATTGGTTTAGAAACAATAATATTTGCAATTCAGCACAAAATACATCAAGAATGAGTAAAATCTATCGAGCTATTCAAAAGTTAATCAAGAAATATGATCTAAAAATTCTTGCAAAAACTAACTGTGACAAAATCCTACGTAAATACCCGAGACCATTAATTTCATGAATATACTTTTGACCATAACTTTTGAACGACTGAAACAATTTCGCTCATTTCTTTCATTCTGTTCACTTTGGAAATATGGTGTAAAGCTGCTCCTATCAATCAAATATAAATGTAATACTTCGACTGGTCTTTTTAATAATTCTCTAAAAAGATTTAATCTTAAAACTATTTTACTACGGTATTTTAACTCTTCACCTGTATCATTAAATTATTATTCTAAATGGATCCAATGTTGGTTATTCAAAATCTTTGTTATGTTATATCTAATAAAAAATGAATATGTCAGTAGATTTATCTTGACTTTAATTTTTATAACAGTCTTAATGATCTGTATGTTGAATAAATATACTGAATGATCCCTATTACTACTTATACTTTCACTACTTCTACCACTATGGGATTTGAATCAATAACTACATCTCTGTGCTAATGTGGTATTGGATACTGACTGAACCGTATTTAGAAGCTTTCTGTATCCTTTCTGTTGGTATATGTATATTAGTTTCATCATCTATTGTTTTAATGATTCACATCATAGATAAATTTATTTCTGTTTACCTTTTTTCCTCAAATTTATTTTACAAATCTGATTATTACGTTATTGAATTATTTAATAACATGAATATAATATTGTATGGTTCACTTTTATAGATAAATATAATTCTAATGATGGTCACGTTGTTAATGCTCATAACCGTAATAATGGTGGTACAACTTTTAAGCAACATCGAATTTCATCAGTACGAGATTCTGAAAAAGGTAGGTATATCTTGAAAGAAACACACTAACTAAATTGTAATTTGTTCATTCTTTAGAAATATTCTTCATATTGAATTTACAGTGTTCATTACTAAATAGAACTGTTAATGTGTGACTTGTTGATTACTGAATCTGGTGTAATGCAGAAAGTTGACAGAGTTCATTCGTCTAGTTGTAAACTATTTTTATGTGTATCTTATTAATCTCTCTAATACACACCAAAAAATAATTTTGTAATTTATCTTGGTAGTAATCTTGACTGTAAGAGATTGTCTTTTTACCGTTCTTTCAAATCGCCCATTGTTCTTACAGTGGATTTCCTAAATTAATTCTTAATATTTACAGGAGTGAAACTGTCGTGTGGTTTTTGCAGCAAGACGTTTTCAACAAGAACTGGACAGGATCGTCACATTAAAAGCATTCACAAAAGTAGATGACGCATTTCTTGTTATTTGTTTGCTTTTTACACTTAATAAGTTGTGACCGTTTTTTTTGTTTGAATGTTGCCACTGACTAAATGTTGTTGATTCATACTTCATTCTTTCGAAGTCAGGTTTTGGGTATTTTTAAACCAAACCTTGCAATGATAGGTGCTATCACACTAGATTGTATGCTTAGAATAAATTGCATTTGTTTCCACCTGTCTGTTTTCATTTTTCCACAGTGTTCATTTTGTATTATTTTCACTAAATAAATTTTCCTTATAAAAAAACAGTTCATCTACATCATTATACCTCACTTCCATTCTTTTGAAGATTTAAACCAAATACTGTTAATTCTCTCTATGGTAAACAGTAAGATACAAAATGTGTCTCAAAATGATATTAAGATTTCTTAAATAAAGGGTTGGTGGTAGTGAGTGTTGTATTTCGATTTCCCTCTTTTTTGGAGGTAGAGTGATCGGGGTTCAAGGTGATGGACACGAAAAATAATAAAAACCAAACTATCACGATCTCAATGAAATAAATGGTCATTAGTTCACTGTATATACTACAGTTGTTATTTTGTTCTCGGCCTATTGCGACTTGGAGTACTTTCTACATAAAAAGTCGAATAATTAAAAATCTCAGTGATTTGATATTAATTAATTCTGTTTATCTGATCCAATAGTTGGTAAACTTCATTTAGTGACTGAATGAAAAACACTCACTCATTTTATCAAGTACTAATATCAGTGAATTTCGATGTAATAGATAAACAACCGACCTTTTTTCATGTTGCACAACTTACAGATGCACATAGATTACAATAAAAGGGACCGGTTTAGAAATCAGTTAACAAATAGGGAAATGGTATCAGAAAATTAGTTTATTATGCAGTTTAATTCCTCTGTGATTGTAATTTAACCACCTAAACTTGTTCTTCAAACTAAAAGCATATGGTTTGGATGCTTTTATGAGAACACGGAAAGTGAACGTCCAATGTTCTAACCGGGTCTGTGGATACACAGGGTCGACGTGTGCAGTTGAAAAACTGATTTGAAAGGAATGCTGTACTATGAGCTCTGGTTTCCTTGATAAATGTATGGTGTACAAATTGATTCTGGTCATTGGCTACCCGGGGAACTGGATGTCTTAACGTGAATTAGATCTTTAGGTCATATTTTCCGATAGTAATCGAACTAACAAAATCACTTATTTTAGTTTTGGCGTCTAGATAGTATCCCAGTTCCCACACATGTGATAATAGATCTCTAATGTTGACTCAGTCATGATTGGTTTGGGAAATTTTATAAGTACATTTAATAATCTTAATTATTGTTTCTTTTCTCTTTAGGAATAAAATATTCTTGTATTCAATGTGACAGAAAGTTTTCAGGTAAATTCCATTTAATTGAACACAAGAAAGTTATTCATGAAGGTGAGTTATCGTGGTAATTATTTTTTATTTTATTTGAACACGTAGATATTGGTATAAAGGGGCACTCAATACATATGTGTCACGAAAGTCACTTGATTTGTGTGTGGGCTATGATACTGCCCGTGTGCCAAAACCAAAGCAGGTGCTTTTCCTAGGGAACCATACCAGGAGCCTTCGATATAAAAGTGTAATCCACAAGGCAGTGGAGCAACGTCAGGAGATACAGTCCGATGGTAGCCAGTGACCAACGATTGGTTCATACACCATTTGTTCCTTCAGGATCCTGCAGCAACCCATGTGTACCATCGGTTTGGAATCAAGGTTTTCCAACTTCTCTCGGTAGATCCTCCATATCCACCTACCTGCTAAAGCGACGGACATTCGCTTTTCGTCCTGTCAATTTCGTAAACAACACTCCCTCGCGAGAAGGCAGTGAGTAGGACTTCCGTGGTAGTGGCTGTATACGCGTGGTCATGTGAAAGCATTTCGAGAAACAGAGAGCAGACCCTCCCCACTCTCGGCCGTACCAGGGTATTTGGGGGCATTGTGGTAAGTGCGATGTGTGCAACATACCTTCTCAATAAGTTTCTACAAAAAACGTTTTTGACTATTTTGTCGCTGATAAATACCCCTTAGCATCTTTTGATTTGTTCACATTATATGTGGTCCCGAAAACCTTTTATATTTAACTGGTATTATTGCCTTAAATGAATAATCATATTTTCAGAAATCTTTGTGTTGTTGTTCTCATAGGTATTAATCTTTCATGTGATATATGTGACAGGAACTTCACTACGAAATCCCAACTAACTAGACACATAAAATCAATTCATCAAGGTATAGTCTTTTTTTTACAATCACATAATTACACTTACGTGTATTTTGTGGATTTTAATATGCTTATACACCCTATTCACTAATCCCATTTCTATTTTACTGTGTTTTTTATTGACGTATTCTTACTATAAGAAAAGTACGAATAATTAAGTTTTCGAAAGGTATGAACTACATGATTATAAGATAATGAGAAATGTGTTTGTTCAATTAGGAGGGATCGTGATAAAATTTGTTAGAATGTATTAATAAATCACGTTATTCATATTTTTAATAGTATATTAACATTATTGGTTTGTGAATTTTGTGATATTACTCGATCGTATAAGTTGAAGTATGTTGTTTCTTCTGTAGACAATTACAAGTTTCTCTTTACCTCTTGTTTTTGACTGGATATTTACGTTATGACGTTACTGTGTGTGTTTCAGAAATTTCTAAAGACCAAAGGTCATACACAACCCTATGTGTCCTCGATTTTCTGTACATATTCCAACTTTGAACTCAAAATGTTACATTTCGCACATGTTCTTTGTAGTTCTAGTTGATGTGTATTAGTTTGGGGTTATAGGTATTGACTGAGAAGGCAGTAATAAGCTCTCCTTTGTTACACTTACCAGGTTACAGTGTGATTTATTACAGTCAGTGAGGATTGAGTGTGCAAGACGACAGGACTTAAGGTTGAATTTTTCATGTCATGTAACATTATAGTGTAGTAACCAGTTTCGTTGGAATATTTCACTGAAAACAGGCCTCACAAGCTGACTGGTTTTCTTGAATTCATGTGTGTCTATGTACTTGCGTAACTTGATAATGTGATTTTGGTTTCTCATATAGAATGTGATTGGAGGTGCGTAGGGTATCTGCGTACCTATCTTTATCCAATTTTCCCAGTCTATTACTCAGTCTTGTGTTTGTGTTTATCTCCCGGCAAATGGGAAACCTAATTTCTCATATACGACAATGATCAATATTTGCTCGCCCAAACCTTTTTTCTTGCAAAGTGGTTATGTTTATTTAAGGTGTATGTGTTGTAAACCGTTACTATACAGAAATATATATTTCGAATTTGTATAGGTACATTTAATAATAATTATTATTGTTTTGTTTTTCTTTAGGAATAAAATATCCATGTAGTCAATGTAACAAAAAGCTTTCTACGAAATATGATTTATATGTACACAAAAAAGTTATTCATGAAGGTGAATAACGTTTGTGATAATGTTGTTTTACTATGAATTTGTATTATATATCGTTCTAAATGGATTAATTTAAACAAATTAGCTGTAGCTCTTCGTCCTATTCCAACGGTAGAGTTAGACAAGATTGACCAATCTCACCGTTCCTTGTTAACTTCCCTATCGATGATGTTCTAGAAACAGCTCTAATAGAATTAGGTGATGGTGTAGATCTGTTACTTAGAGAAAGACTTGGACTTAGGGTATAAGGATGACATCGTTTTGAGATTTGATAATACACAAACTATGCAGTTCTTACATAATCAGTTAACAGTTAATGTCTACTAGTACGGCACGTATCTCGGACCCTAAAAATCCAAAGTGCTTCTACAAGACTGACATAAACACTTATGCTTGCACTCACTATTTCTAGTAACCCATTTATTTATTTATTATAACACATAGGTATTGGTACAAGGAGGCACCAAATACATATGCGCCACACGAATCTCAATTGATTTGTGTGAGGGCTGTGATACTGCTCGGGTGCCCAAACCGAAGCAGGTGGTTTTCTTAGAGGGTCACACCCCGAGCCTTCGACCTGAACGTCTGATCCACAAGGCAGTGGAGCATCGTGAGGAGATGCAGTCCCATGGTAGCCGGTGACCAACGATTGGTTCATACGCCATTTGTTCCTTCAGGATACTGGAGCCCATGTGCACCATTGGTTTGGGATCCGGTTAAAGCGCCAGACATTCGCTTTTCGTCCTCTCATTTTCGTAAACAACAGTAATGCCACGAGAAGGCAGTGAGTAGGACTTCCCTGACAGAGGCTGTATACGCGTGGCCATGCGAGAGCATTTCGAGAGGGAGAGCGGACTCTCCCCACTCTCGGCCGTACCAGGCCATTTGGGGGCAGTAACCCATTAGAAGTAATTCAGAAGCTTGTGTAGATATGTGACTGCTGGTAATTGCGTCACAGTTGAGTTTATTCTCTTTAGTAGTACTCACTCACTTTTTTCTTTCTTAACAGTTCCACCTCTATTTATAGAGCGCATTCTACTTTTTGTACTCGATTGTGCCAGATTTGTGTGCCTGATTAGATGAATAAAATTGAAGTAAAATGATACGATTAAAAATAAGTACTGAAATAAGAGGATGATATCAAGAAACCATTAATTAGTCAGTGTATGCAATAGTCACCTAGGTGTAATATTTTAACTAATTATAGGGATGGATCGAAATTTCAGTGGTCCTACACATGGTGCGTTTATTTCGAATTCCGTGGTTTTGTGGGTGGGTAGGGGTGGTAATAGTCACTTGATCCCGTAGAAATGTTTTCATACAACCATCTGTTTGTATTCTCTGTCAGGCATAGACTGGTCACTGCAACCACGTGGTAGGATATTTATACTGAAATGAGAGATCGAAAAGCGGAGGTTCGTGGCTTTGAACATATTTGTTCATAATGTTGTCTGTATTCGATTTAATGCTTAAACTTCGTAAACAATTCGCCCTGGTAACCGTTACTAGATAATGTCCCCAGCGGTGTATAAACCAGAAGACGAGTACGAAGTGTTGATCGCATTTTTCATTGCACGACGCACAGATCACTAAAATCACAGACACACGAAACAAGAATGAAAGGCTAATGCCGAAAAGCAAGCAAGTGCGCGAGTGAAAATGAATAGGATTTATATATATATATATATATATATATATATATATATATATATATATATATATATATATATATATATATTAGGGAAATGGGTCAATTGTCGAATCAATTAAGCGGTTAACATTAATACTAGCAGAAACGTAAGCGATAGGCAATGCTCAAGCATACGTATTCATACAAGCGCAACAATGATCAAGGTACAATCGTATAGATAAGTTGTTATTGTACAAATGACTGTCCGTTAAATAAGTTAACTAAAGAGCTTAATCAAATTAAATATAAACAAAATCAATTGCACATAAGTTGCTTTAGTTTCTACTACACGAAATGTTGTTTATTCACTCATATTATTTTTTGTATGTTTATATTATTTGTGTTGCAAATTACTGATACAAATATTTAAACATTGGTGTTAAATATGTATCTGTACATTTAGTGATATGATTATTTGTTTTTCTTTCATTAGGAATAAGACATCCTTGTAATCAATGTGATAGAAGGTTTGGATCTAAATCCAAATTAAATGATCACATAAAAGTTGCTCACGAAGGTAAGTTAGGTTATGATGATGATAGTGACGGTCTACTTTGAAATTATGTGTTCTGTACCTTCTAATAACATCATTATTGAATATGAACTTTTTATTTACATCATTTGTTTATATATCTCTTCTAATACAAATAATCAAGCAACTTGAATTGATATTATCGCACAGAAAGTTTTGCTTCAGTAGCAGTGAAGCTGTGGATGTACGTATAACACTCAGATTTCACTGATTAGTTCACACATTCAAGTTCCGTAACTCCTTAGATTTAGGCACTTAATGGGCTAAAATTCATTTTATGACAAGATAAACTTTAAATAAGCATGTTACTGCTGTTCATCAAGGTATGATTGAATAAAATATCATTTAGTAGTTTCCCTATAATGACTTTTTAAAATAAAAATTCAAATCTGTTATACACTATTCAACTGATTCAGATACACAGCAAAACACCGAGCATTAATTAGGATTTCCGATGGTTTTGAGGTTCCAATTCTTTTTTTCATCGAATATGTCATCTGTTTTTTCATGTTTCTGATCCTTTCATTATCTGACTTGAAATTTGTTTTCAGTCAACCTTGGGCATATATAATACTCAGAATATTTAAAATGATTTGGTTTCATTTGTTCTTTTTCCTATAGGTGTAACTTTTCCATGCGATAAATGTGGTAAAATATTCTCTTCGAATGGCGCTCTTTGCAGACATCTACAATCCGTTCATCAAGGTAATGATTTCTTTGACAAAGCATTTTTATTTTTAAGTTTTTTTTTTCAGGTTTTAATGTGATAATCTTTCGCTGTTCATTAATTCTGTTTGTATTTTGCTACATTTTTTTCAACGCTTTTACTATATGACCTAAGGATGTATTCAATAATACAATAAATCAACGTCATGACTACGTTTACCACCAGTGACCGAAGTGTGTTCATGCGCCATTTACTGTTCGATGATTCTAGTGCCGATTTGTGCCCCTGGTTTAAAATAATCGTGTTTCTGTTGCCTCAGATAAACTGTTTGTGTCTATCGGCTTGGTTTCATCGTTGGACATCCAGTGTCTTCCTTTAATAAAAGCACTACCAACGTATGAAGATCGCTTTTGCAGTTGTCGAACTTGAGTCAGTCTAATATTCAAGTTGCTTGGAGGTAATAGGTGTTTAGATACCAGTTCTACTTTCACCCAAGTATCCTACCCACTGCTCTAATTTGGATAGAATAATTAATTTATGTATTTGTTTGTCGTATGTTGTCTCATTCTTGTTATATACATCTTTGATTAGCGTAGCTGGAAATTCGGTTGGTGGGTAACTTCGGATATGTGCTTCTAAAGGCAGAGCTCCGACTTGTTCGAAAATATGTTGTCTTTTGAAATGTTTTGAGGGTGGACATCAAAGCTATTGCTCTCTTTCCTACTTACTCATAGTTCTCGGTCTCTGTGATCGAGAGATCTGTACGGATTATGGCTTCACCTAATTCTCCTGCTAGAATACAAGAGAATACAGCACCCGAGCCATTACGTAGTGTCAATCACATCAATTATTTCTTGTTTTGTGTCAAAACATGTCACTAATAGTTTCGAACTGGTTATTTCCTTAAGGTTATTTTTAATATTTTACCACATTACCACATTAATCTTCAAGTACAGACGAATCCAGTGTCAGACTTAACAAATCGAATGATTGTAGAGCTTCCTGAAGTATTTAAAGATGGTGTCTGTTCTATTGCACAACAACTCAAATGACTGTAGAATTAAAACTGGATACCATATCAATTTTTCTCCTAAAGAAAACAGTATTTTACGTCATACTTTAAGTAACTGATGAACAAGTTAAATGACCAGAAAAAGACCGAGTTATGTCACATCTGTTACACCTTCATTGATAAACCCCAATTGTGGTTATAAAAAGGGAAATTAGTGGAAATCGCATACATACTGATATTTGAACTAGACTAACTGCTGCAGCCGCGATCTCTTTACTATCAAGGCAAACAAGATATTATTTGAATTCAACTAATTATTAAACGGGATCAAACTGCACCAACCTCTAACAAATTATAGACGCCATGATAATAAGGTTGTTTCCAGTTCCATAATGGATTTACTATAATCTTCTACAACTAGAGAAAATAAAACGGAAACAGAGAGCATGGAACATCAAAAGCAATTATTACTACGATAGGTCAGTCAGATCTACCACCATACATGTGGTGGGTTATTTTCTGATTTACTGTTCGGGTTCGATATTATTCAAACTAAGTTTTCCAGGGACGGTGTTAATTTAAAGTGTCTACAGACAGGGAGGTTTTATAGTGTCTGCTACTCTGTCAAATCCATATGGGTTGTTCTAGCTTCCGGAAAGATTAATTTATTCGTTCTTTTTTAGTCACATTTTGACCATGTCAATTATTAGATTATTAAAATCGACTGTTTTCATATGAGCGTGTATGTGTAAATTGCTTATTGTACCCATCACATGGCTGTAACTAATTTTTTATTACTATAAATATTAAGTTACGCTTGGTCTAATCCTGTTGACTCATTCGCCTTCGCCTCTTATTCTGAATGTCCGTTTGTATAAACGAGTGCTCGTAGTGGATTCACCAAATCCAACCCGTATTTGGCTTCTTATTACTGCAGTCACACAAACGGGAATAACTTAAGTGATATGCGGGTACGACTTTAAATTTATGTATGATAGTGTTGCCAACATTGATGTATTTCCGACCATTCTATTATAAGCGTGCGGGAGGTTCGCTCAACTGCTTAGAATGACGATTCATGTACATGCGCGTGACGTTAGACCTCTAATTAGCGGGTTTCAGGTTGTTCGATGTATGAGCAGCTAGTAAATACGTCAGATATATATGACCTGTGATAGCCGAATATCCCCAATAACGAATGATATTAAACTATTGGCTCAGCCATCATCTTTTGTGAAGAAAAAAGTCAGTATGCATTTTTCAATGTCTCAGTCGCTGGTTGTTTTCTGAAAAATACCTAGATATTATTACAATGCTCTTAAAAATCCGCTATTGAGTTTTCGAGTAATATACCACCGGAGTTGATGGTACACACATTTTGAAAATTCAAACTAGCATTCGTTGTAAGATTGTATTTCGGTTAATTCAGTTTCAAATTTTGATAAATGATACATTTCCCATCTTGCCACTCCTTTGTGGATTAAATCTTCAAATCGCGGGCTTGGAGAAATATTTCTTATGAACACTACTTGATTTTAAGTATCCGGTTAAGTATATCAATACGTCATAGAAATATGAAAATGATGATCATAAAATTATTAATTATTAACATCACTACTTTTTTCCTAAAATGGTTATGTTTATTTATGTGTACTGTAAACCTCCTATTAGATTACCTTATTTACTGATTCCTTTTTATTTGTTTAAGTACATTTACGAATTTTAGTAATGTTGTTTTCATTAGGAATAAAATATCCATGTAATCAGTGTGACAGATTGTATACATCAAGATTTCATTTAAATGAACACTTGAGAGCTAGTCATAAAGGTAAGTTATGTTTGTGTGATAATGGTGTTCTTCAATGAAATTGTATACTACATGTATTCCTATCAAATCATCATTGAGAGTACACTTTTCATCCACGTCATTATTACTTGTTTCATTAACTTTCAACAATTTGATTACCTTAACCGACCTTACTTCCTTATGAGGGGTATCTCAACATGTTAACCATTTTAATTTCAATAACTTTTTTACATATTAATTGTCTATGGTCTGATGTGCTATGACAGATGTCAAGTTATTTATGTTATAATAAGATAGAAGTTCTCTGGGTATCATAGTGATCATGGTTTTTGTCAAACACTTCCCTTGATCCAGTGATTTTTATTTTTAGTCCTATATAGTTTGAAATGTTGCTTAATAATCATCCAATTTCCTTATATCTAATGTGATAGAACTTCGCTGGCCATTGCGTCTCACCAAACATTCGGAAATCCATCTCATTGCGTAGTATTGTGAATTAAATGAAATAGATAATTTGTATTAGTATTGTATTCAGACTCAGTGTTCTGAAAGTGTTGTTTGCCTCGAAACTGAAAGGCATTAAATTCTAGTTGTTTTAGGAGTTGTAGGTGTCTAAGCCTGCACATATAGGTCGATTTTCATTATGTATGTCAAGAAATACTATTAATAAATATTTAACAGTCAGATTTAGTTGTTGTTTGCTTGTATCTTTCGATTGTTGTGTAGGACTGCAATTGATCAGTCTCTTATTGGCATATATGCATCCTGTGTAGGTTGCTTCGATATTGCGTTAAGTCACAAGTTTTATGAGTAATGATCGATGGTGGTTAGCAGTGGAATCCAGGACGCGCATTTCGTATGCCCGACCACCGACTGCTTCGACCTACGATGTTTTATGGTGTAGGAGTAGGTTAGAATTAAGCTAGGGGCGGCCAGGTCAAAACATGGCACAAATCCCTGGTTGGGATCCGCGAGACGATAGCAACCGATCGTTAAAGACCCTAAATGAAATGGCTCGAAATCGTCTGCAATGGCGCAGGTGCATCCACTCTTTTATTCTTTCAAATTCTAATCTGAATTCTTCATGTCCTTTTTTGCCTTTTTCCAAACTTATTTCACTACATTATACTCCTTTAATAACATCTTCAAACCCTAATCTTTCCAATTACTGCTTATACTTTTACTACCTCTACCACTACGGGATGTTAACCGACAATTGTATCTCTGTGCTAATGTGGTATGGAAACTCAAACTGATGTGCGAACGTACAAAGTTCTACGTTGTCATTAACTGACTGATTTTGTCCTATTTCGGTCTCGTCAGCTGAATGTACCTGCGTCCCAGAGTCATATAGTGATAAGCTATCGCCATCCACTACTATATTTACTTACTTACGCCTGTTACTCCTCGTGAAGGAGCATAGGCCGCTCACCAACATTCTCCATCCAACCCTGTCCTGGGCAATCCTTTCCAGCTCTTTCCAGTTCTTATTCATCTTTTTCATATCTGCTTCTATTTCCCGATGTATTTTGTTCTTTGGCCTTCCTCTTTTCCGCTTCCCTTCAGGATTCCAACTTAGCGCTTGTCTCGTAATGCAGTTTGATGATTTGCGTAATGTATGTCCTATCCATTTCCATCGTCTTTTCCTAATTTCCTCTTCAGCAGGAAGCTGGTTGATTCTCTCCCACAAAAGGCTGTTGCTGATGGTATCCGGCCAATGGATGTTGAGTATCATGCGTAGACAGCTATTGATAAATACATGTACCTTCTTGATGGTGGTTGTTGTAGTTCTCCAAGTTTCAGCTCCGTACAGTAGAACTGCCTTGACGTTCGTATTGAAGATTCTGACTTTGATATTGGTTGAAAGTTGTTTTGAGTTCCATATGTTCTTCAGTTGAAGGAATGCCGCTCTAGCTTTGCCGATCCTCGCCTTGACGTCTGCATCTGAACCTCCTTGTTTATCGACGATGCTTCCCAGGTATGTGAAGGATTCTACATCTTCCAGAGTTTTGCCATCGAGTGATTGAATTGCTGTTCTCCGCCTGTAGCTCTTCCAGAGTTACTGCCGGTCCCAAGCCCGGGTAAAGGAGGAGGGTTGGGCATGGGGTTAGCGTCCCCATCCCGTAGAAAACTAACTCGCTAAAAAAACGCTAACCAGAAAAAATAACTACTATATTTACTGATTTTGTTTAAAAAATTGTTTTACATTTTTCTAATAACATAGGTTTTATTATTTCTTATGATTTTTTAATTAGGTGTAAAATTTACCTGTGATCTATGTAACAAAGAATTTGCCTTTAAAGTAGGCTTAGATGAACATAATAAGAGTATTCATGAAGGTTAGTCTATTATAGAATTTTTAATGATGATTCACATATAATTCTTCTATAACTTTCTAGAATCTCACTTTTTAACATATATAAATTTGAATCTTCTAACATTTCACTACCTTGTCGATTAGACTTAGGTAAAATGTTCGAAGAGTAGTCTGGTATGGAAACTACTTGAGTCGGTTTAGTCACATGGATAGAATCTCAGCCTACACAGAAATACTATGGTGAATACTTATAACATTGATAATGATTAAGAATATTTATTTCAGGTCTTGAATTTATAGAATTTTGAATAGTATTTTGCTGTTTTATGTGAGCAAACTGTTACTGAAAGATATGTTTGTTAAAACTTATGGTCTGAGTGCCCTGTTTATGTATCATGTCATAATACCGCCAATTAGAAAGCAGTGAATTATCGATCGGATCAATGGCGCATAAAACCCGTGCGAGCAGTCTAGAGTACTTATCGGTCCTGCTTCCTGCCTAGCCCAGCCAGTTAAGTCCAGAACACCAATCTCAGCCTCTACAATATGAATCATTTATTTCAAACACACGGGGTTTATATACCAACCAGACAGACAACATCGTACCATAAAATAGGAAACAACATTTGTACAAGATTTGGCTAAATGTGGCTGTGAATGTTCGAGGTAGTAATTAATAGACAGGACATAATTCAAGAATGGTAAGTCGCATAATAATAGTTCATAGGTCAAAATAAAGCTCGTAATAAGAGGAACATGAATATGTATAGTTTAGGTATTTAACAATTACACGATAAAAATGTACACATAGCATTGGTCGATAAATGGATCCCAAAAGTTACCATTCATTATTCCAATCGGGAAATAACAATATTACTTTAATGAGAATGATTAGTGTCTGTCGTCAGTGTTTTCCACAATTAGAATGAGCGTTGTAGCTCTTACTATGTTATTGGAGTACTTGAGTTTCAATTGCTGTGATTGTCTTCACTCTTCATAGCATAATTATAGTTCAAGGTCTTCTATGGGAATGATTGTTCTTCTTTTATCCTTTAGTCTTTTGAAATGGTTATGTATATCTAGGATGATATATATACTTCCCACCATTAGTACATAACCAAATTTATTAATTTCTAACTTGTTTTATAAAAATGTATCAGTATTCATACTTGTTTTTTTCATTAGGAATAAAGTATCCATGTGATCAATGTAGTAAAACGTTTTCGTATAAACGTATGTTAAATAACCACGTGAAGTCTATTCATAAAGGTATGTTTCGGTTGTGAAAGAGACATTCTACTGTGAAACTGGTACGCTTCATACATTCTCATCAAAAAATTATTTCGTGTGTGCTTTTCATTTAAATTGTTTTAACATCTTTCTTCTATTTCTAATGTTTCGATCAGTTAGTAGTCAGTTTTAATACTGTGCTTGTAATGTGGTACTTATATACATGGGTTTCAGTTGCCATACCACTTTAGCGCTGCGCGACAAGACTATCTGGATCAATTTTAATGTCATGGTGTAGTAGTAAAAATGACCAATGATGGTTGAAAATGTTTAGGTATAGAAGAATGTAAGGTTAAGAAGAAATGTAAAAACAGTTAAGCCTTATGATTGATTCTAATCCATTTCTGCGCAAGCACTGGTTTCGGTGTCCCCAGATATCCTGGTACGGGCCCTCACATGGCCACGCGTATATAGCCTCTGCCAGGTAAGTCCTACTCACTGCCTTCTCGTGGTGGGGGGTGTTGTTTACGAAATTGAGAGGACGATGAGCGAATGTCTGGCGCTTTAACCGGGTTAGTGAACATGGAGAGTCCACCTAGAGGAGTTGGAAAACCCTGATTCCAAACCAATGGTGCACATGGGCTCCAGTATCCTGAGGGAACAATCGTTGGTCATCAGCTTCCATGGGACCGCGTCTCCTCACGATGCTCCACTATTTTGTGAATCAGACCTTTAGGTCAAGGGCTCGGAGTGTTGCCCCCTAAGAAAAGTACCTGCTTCGGTCTAGGCACCCGGACAGTATCACAACCCTCACACAAATCAAATGAGATTTGTATGGCGCATATGTGTTTGGTGCCTCCTTGTACCAATATCTATGTTTTCAAATAATAATAATAATACTGGTTTCGGTAATCGTTCATACCATAAGCAAATAATCTACACATACGTACATGGCTCAATCCATTTAGTAATGCCATATCTTTCAGCCTACTTTTATACCGTGCAACATCGTCCATCGAAGTGAGAGCTTTCGAGCATACATAATGCATGTCTCAACCACTTGAGTTAATGAAAACTCATTGCCCTAAATGTTGACATCGAATTTGTATAAGTATATATTTTATGTTAATTATTGTTTTTTTCTCTCTCTCATTAGGAATAAAACTTACTTGTAAGCAATGTGATAGGAAGTTTAATTGTAAATCCAATCTAAACGGACACGTGAGGTCTGCTCATGAAGGTAATTTATATTGGTCGGTTATAATTGTATTCTATTATGAAATCGTATTTTATGCGCATTTTCATCAAATATTGATTGTACACATCACATTGAAATCACTCTTCCTGTTTCTTGAAATTTTAATTATTTATTTATTTTATTTATTTTAACACATAAATATCGGTACAAGAAGGCACCAAATACATATGCGCCACACATATCTCATTTGATATGTGTGGGGGCTGTGATAATGCCCGGGTGCCCAAACCGAAGCAGGTTTAATTATTTGGCAACTCATATTGATAATATTCCACTGGAAGCTCTGTTTCACGAAAGATGAATTGTTGCTACAGTAGGTTAAACACCAATTTCAACTAATAAATCGTAGATTGTAATCCTCTTTCACCTTTCATTTGGTTACATATTGGGAAACTCGAACTCTTAGGAATCACTTATTTTTTAGTTGGGTTATCATTTTAAATGGTTAAATATATTTTACCAAATCTCTACTTTTTTTTGCTCTTATAGGTATATTTTTCCAATGTGATGAATGTGATAAGAAGTTCACTGCGAAATCCCAACTAAATATACACATACAATCAATTCATCAAGGTAGTCTTTTTTCTACAACCACATAATTACACTTACGTGTATTTTGTGGATTTTAATATGCTTATACACCCTATTCACTAATCCCATTTCTATTTTACTGTGTTTTTTATTGACGTATTCTTACTATAAGAAAAGTACGAATAATTAAGTTTTCGAAAGGTATGAACTACATGATTATAAGATAATGAGAAATGTGTTTGTTCAATTAGGAGGGATCGTGATAAAATTTGTTAGAATGTATTAATAAATCACGTTATTCATATTTTTAATAGTATATTAACATTATTGGTTTGTGAATTTTGTGATATTACTCGATCGATTAAATTGAAGTTTGTTATTTCCTCTGTAAGGAACCGTAAAGTTTATAATCCAAAGTGTGTAATCGATGATGGATTATAATGGCTCAATGATTCAGTTTAGTATGGAAACGAGTGATTGAATGAAGTTGTATTCCACTGATTCTTCTGTTGCTTTTTAATACTGGATCTAAGTTACTTTCTAATTACAAATGATTGAGAGCTCGGTAATGTGGTAGCTGACAAATAACACTTCAGTAATAGTCGGTAAATTCGAAGGAACGAAAGGATAAGATTTGAGTCATGAAAGTTATAAACATCAATCATGTTTCCAATCGACTTTTCAGATTGAGATCTATTTCTTGTTTTAAAGTGAAAAATGATGATCCATAAATGATGTTGTCACATGTCAATTTATTTGTTTATTTAACGTCTTATGGTATTGAATCTCAACTTTGAATTCTGCCCAACAATCTGATGGTTTAAAGTATTGATTTTTAATTGGGTCACTCCATATCATAGGCGTTGAGTAAAATGTGGTTCTTGGAACTGATTACGTATACATTTACTACTTCATTGAGTTATACTATTCATTTGCATAATATGGTTATGTGTTTGAAAATTAATAAATTATATGTTATATTTTGATAAGCTGAGCATCGTACATTTTCCATCTGAACTGTGATATGTGTTAGCCTGTTGACTAACCGTCTCAGGAAACGTTTGCACCATTATTTTGTTGGGGTATTCAGAAAATACTCCAGAATTTATCTAATGCCATTCCTGAATGAGAAATAGTGTCATTTCCCCATTGGTCAACATTCTTCCAACGTGTCATTTTCCTATTGGTCAATATTTATGGTAGTCCTAACTGTATAAATATGCATGTGTCTGTAGATTATTATTCTCTTCTCCGACCCGATAAAGAATTTTCGTCTAACGGTTGTGTTCTGATATATTTGGAGATTTGGGGAACGGTATTGGGTCGTACTAGGACATCTGCAGTTGGTCCATCGATAGAACTAGAGTAGTCACCTCGCGAACCAGAACATATTTACTTTAATATGTCTATTCTAATTTATTTCTTTCCTTTTAGGAGTGAGGTTTACTTGTGAAAAATGTGGCAAAAAATTTAAAAAACAGAGTACATTAAATGATCATGTTAAAGTTATCCATGAAGGTATGATTAAAGAAAATATCAAATGTGATTTTTTATTTTGACTGCTTAAAAAATATTTTCAGTATGTAGATTTGTGGTGATTATAGTATTTTCACACTTGAATTCACAAGTCGATCTAAGCTAGACCATCATTAAAAACCTAAAAGTACTGGATGGTCGATTCGTCTCAACAGTGCACATCCATGCAGCCACACGTGGGACTCGAACTCAGGACATTCAGTTCAGCACTAAAACACTTAACTTCTAGACCACTGAGAAGACGTAACCAGTGGAGACAGTTATCCACCTCAGACAATGGATGAAGGGTTGAGCAGAATTATGAATCTACTGGAGTTAGACATTAACACCGTTGGACGCTAACTCAGGGTTCTAGAGGTTAAGTGTTCGCACCCGAGACTGAAGATCCTAAGTGCGGGATCGTCGGTGCGCACTCCTGCAGAGTCTCATACCAGAATGAAATGACCATCCAGTGCTTCGGGCTTTTCAATGATGGTCTTTCTTAGATCGTTTCGTGAATTCAACTGTAAAAAATATTTGTCTATATATATTGAATGGTAAAATATTTTCACTACTAAACTAATTCAAATAGACTTTTAAATAGTAAATATCATGTAAAATTCATTTAAGATTCCACTATCCAGTTACATAGAATATGTTAACTGTTTAGTTTTTTGTCTTTCAATTAATGTACATATGAATATTTTAATGTTTCACTAAGAATTGTTTTGAGTCTAGTTTTGAACGAATGAAAACTGTTTGATTTATGAGGGTAAATACTGACCGTGTCTGATTCAGTACCCTTTAGTTTTTTATCAGTAAATTATTCCTTTTATTTTTTTTCCAGTTCAATAGGTTGTTGTAAACATTAATTAAATATAATAAAGACAGTTTTCTTTATTATTGTTATATCCCAATAAGAATAATGAATGGTAACTTTTGGGATCCATTTATCGACCAATGCTATGTGTACATTTTTATCGTGTAATTGTTAAATACCTAAACTATACATATTCATGTTCCTCTTATTACGAGCTTTATTTTGACCTATGAACTATTATTATGCGACTTACCATTCTTGAATTATGTCCTGTCTATTAATTACTACCTCGAACATTCACAGCCACATTTAGCCAAATCTTGTACAAATGTTGTTTCCTATTTTATGGTACGATGTTGTCTGTCTGGTTGGTATATAAACCCCGTGTGTTTGAAATAAATGATTCATATTGCAGAGGCTGAGATTGGTGTTCTGGACTTAACTGGCTGGGCTAGGCAGGAAGCAGGACCGATAAGTACTCTAGACTGCTCGCACGGGTTTTATGCGCCATTGATCCGATCGATAATTCACTGCTTTCTAATTGGCGGTATTATCACGTTAAACATCAACAGGGCACACAGGTCACAAGTTATAACAATTATGGATTGAAATCTTTGGAATAACTTTTGAAAGAAACATTAAGGAGACATTAAATAATGGGTTTTTCCAATTTGTTTGAGATTTAAATCATTTCTCTTGTATTGATGTTATCTGGTCGTTATAAATTTTAGCGGATTATTTCCTCTATAGACAATTACATATTTTATTTTGTAACTGGAAAGCCTAATCCATAACTCAATGTGATTATTTCATCTACAAATAAATTATGTGTCTGAAGTCGGTCTATGAATGGTGATGTTGTCGTCAAGTGTTTTTGTTGATCTTTCCATCTTAAATTATTAAATCTTAACGTTAGTTTCTTATTATATGATGATAGGAATTCAGTAGATTCATTATTTCTATTTTTTATTGTCATTATTATTATTATCATTACTGTTATCGCTAAAAGTATTACCTTTCTATGTGATTCGTGTTGATCTTTCAGTTTGTCGAACCGTCTTCACATTCCTTATTTTAGGATTTAAATATCCCTGTCAGTTCTGTGGGCAACCATTTTCAACAAAGAGGTATCTTAGAAAACACGTGAAAAATAATCATGAAGGTGAGAGTTATTCCCAGTTCATTTATATTTATTTAGTATTTATCAACTAAACTGAAAGGCACATAGTTCTGAATCATATAGACTTTTTATTTTTATTCAATTTCCAATACATTGTAACAAACATTTAATATCTTCACTGAGGATACGCTGCCTCGCTAGTTACAATTTCTTACTGGAAGTTTAGTAGGGCACTTACTCGGAAGAAATTCACAAATATTCTGCAAATCATTGACGTATTTGATGATTGTAAGGATTTATTTAACTTGACTTTGACAGTTTGTTTAAGAAACAGCCTTGAAATAATTTGTAAGCAATTCAGTTAAAGCTCACCTTTTAACACTATGATTGAGAAAGACAATCGTACTTCAGTACTCTTTTTCTCCTTTTTTCGATTGAGATCATGAACCGATTAATGTTAGACCACCATTAAAAACCTGGAAGCACTGGACGGCCGTTTCGTCCTATTGTGGGACTCCTGAGCAATGCGCGTCCATATATTCACATATACTTTCTAGAAACAACATTGAATGCTTAAGTGATAAAGCGTCCGCTCTTCTTCAAGTGACTCTTTGAATTATGGATTTTGTAACGGTCCTGTTCGTTTGATATATATTCTATGATGGTTTTATTGATGTATTTTATCCATTATAATTTAATTTAATTTTAGATTATTTTCTGTGATGGTTTGTTTTTGGAATGAATTTATTCTTTTTAGGAGGAGAATCTTAGTGGGACCGAATGGAAGATGTCGTTTGAGAAAACTCATTTAAAGTGGATTCTTTCTACATTCTGCAATTTATTTCCAAATTTATTAGCCATAAGTTGTCTATTTATTTACTTAATGTAAGTGTGTGAAACTTTAATTATATATTTAACTATGTATTATTATTTATAGTATGGTTGTTACTATGGTGTGATAATCAAGTCTTTTTGCACCATATTCCAAATGTGACGATCGAAAATTACCACTGATGTATCAAGCTTTGCATTTTACTAACTTCATTACTACTATTTGAAAGTGAGAATGAATGATTTGATCTAGAACAACAATGAAAGCTTCACAATTAGACTGTCAAGCTGAAAGGACGCAATACTACAAAAAGCATCTATTTGATGAGCTATAAATCATTTGAATCATTTCAAGTTTCTTATTATCATCATCATTTGTTGTTTGTTACCTTACTACTCTGAAACCAAATGCTGTTTAATAAACGGATTAGTTGTTTTAATAAACTAACTGATATATTTGAACTGATAACATACACATAGAATTTATCCCCAAATCTCCAATCAAATAGATATTTTGTCTAATATTTATTATTTTTTGTATATTTATTAGCTTGATTGTACAAATCAAGTCATTGTTTAAAACAATTAATTCCTTTAATAAATTTTGATTATGCGATGTGATCTGTTTTTAAAAAATATCTGCCGAGTCTTTGTCGACGTTCGAATTTCCTGTTACACAAAACACCGCCAGCCATAGATGTAAGAACTAATGTGGTGTCCGCTATCTGACTCCATAATGAATAATGTTGATTGAACGCCATAACAATTCTAACGTTTCATTCCACATATTATACTTAGGTTAATACCGCTCGGGCAATAACGTTGCTGTAAAACCAAATACGAATTCGGGTGAGTGTATTTCAGTCAGACAGCAAGACTGAAAGCGAAGCATAGAAAGGTATTGTGCCAAGTCCATTTAATTTGAATGTGGTGCAAATTTATGAGCATGGAAGAAACATGTGGACATACACTTAAGATTATACAGGCATGCTCAGGGCCGCACGTATGTATGACTAAATAACAGGTTGAAATAATTTATTTGTCGGAAGAAGGGTAAATCGTGTAGGCATATGACAACGCTAGTTGCTATAATATCGACGTGAACGACAGGAAACAGTCGGGTAGTTCTTGTGTTTTTCCACGAACAGTAAGCTCTTCTTCCAGAGGTGGGTGAAGAGATTGTGATATCCCAAGTGGAATGGTTAAGAGCTAATCGATGACCTCGTAATAGAATTGCAATTTTATAGATAAAGTAGTTATTTACCTCCTTATTTTGGGTATGGTGAATGTGGCAGCAAATATCTTAGAGTCTACTGAGTAACTAAATAACGAGAGAAATATAGGTCCAATAACATCGGATTACATTGCAGAGCTAACAAGAAGGGCTTAAATGAAAACTGTACAAGATGAACAGCATGATGATGTGTAGTACTTCAACTTTTCAGCGCCGAAGCACCATAGTTCAGTTACTGACCTTTACCTCTGGATGAACGCTGTCGCCTCATCCTAGGTCTGCACAACGGCTGAAGATAATGGTCTGTTTATCAATGTGATGTTCGTGTATATTGACAGTGTACTTAACGAATTGTCTCACGTAGAGTTTATGGAGAATCTTGTGATGAAGCGGAATTGAATTTAAAAAGATGATGGCGGAATGTATATGTAGGAAAACGCTATGAGAAATAAGATCAATAAAATAATTCGTGAGATGATAGATACATCCAGAAAATATAATGTTAATTGAGTAGTCTGGATGCATGTTTAAGTTATGAATTTACAGAACAAATTCATTGCAGACTGAATAAATTGGCAGCAGCGAACGGAATTGCGCGAAGGGGAAATAACAACTCGCGTGTTTTGAGAGTGGTAATCGATGAAGTAATTGCATCTATGCTAGGAAGTAATGCTTGGTCGAACAACCAATTGGGAACAAAACAAAATGTGAATAAACAGATGCGAAATATAGATACTACCTAAAATAAGCTGTGGCTTGTCTACACTAACCATCTACCAAGTGTCCATGCAACACTGCGATTAAAATAATGAGAGGCAAGAACTGATGCGCGTTATGGTTCGTCGTGCAGTTAGACGCTTCGATAGTTTTAGCAGTCCTGAACTCAGGTTAGAATCTGGTCTGAATACCCATGGTAGCCAACTATAATCGCATGTTCGTTATCGTGGGTTTGCATTGATAAGGGTCGGAAAAATGGGGCACAATACGAATAAATCGGAAGAAATGGGCGACTTAGCAGCTAAAAATGCCGTTTCCCCATGTTCTAGGGTGAGTCCACCCACTTCAAATATTTCCAAAAATGTAGATTCTAACCCAAAAGATAGTTATCTTTTAGTCAATAACTATGTAGATGTAAAAAGTATATTAGAAGACGAAGTAGTCTTTAAAGAGATCGGGTTGGAGATTCGGCAGTTTCATAGACAGCTATTAGAAACCAAGCAGACGCATTTTAACAAACATTTAAAACGAAGGTCGGAGTGCTGTATTATCTGAGCCTTGACCCGAAGATCTGACTTCTGAAGCTACAGTTGGTCACCGGTATACCAACACAAATTTGAGCTGTGATGTTGAACTTAAAACAGGTGTAGATACCGTCAGGTCACCGTTCACGATATTGAGATTTGCTTGAACTAAAATTACTAAATTCGGGGGGATCCACTTTGGCTTTGAATGTTCATTGAAGGACTTAATGTAAACATTGCAGACTGAGGTGGCGATGACACCTAAATCCTCATGTACTTGCTACAACACTGTGAAGTTATAGCAAGGATGACATGGTATATTGCGCTTCACTACCTATCTAAAAGATCATTGAAAGTCGAACATCCTCTTAAGCAGTAAACTAGTACATTAATCAATCGTGGCTGTAAGGTGTATTTATCTCGACTGCTGCGAGCTGTCGAGAGAGAAGGGTATTTTGTTCCACGTCATCTTGTGTTGAGTCATAAAGAGGCAGGAGATGTTCGAATAGTGTTCAGCTGTGCTGCCTAATCAGAAGGTATCTCTGAATGATTGTATAGACTTAGGACCAGTTTTAGTAGAAGTATTCCTCAGACTCAGAAACCTTAAGATTGGACAATCAGCAGACAGTGAGGAAATGTGCTTTCAAGAACATTAGTCTGACGAGGATTAAGACGATCCTGACCTCTTGTGGTACTCAGAAAGTAATCTTGACTCACTTTCTCATATCTATAGTTTGAAAGTACTTCCTATCGTGGCTGCGCATTGACTGTCTTGTGCCGTTTATGATCTTAGACGTATGGTCATAGGTCACGATGATTTATTCGACAAATATACGAGCTACTCTTCGACAGATGTACTACGTGTGCGATTATCTCGTTTCTGTAGAGATAGTCTCTGAGGTCTCCGAGCTAGCGGATAGTTAAAGTCGACTTGTAGACCTCAGGGCTTTCCGAAAATAAAGGAATGTTAGTAATGTCTTCGATGCTCTAAACGATGTCGCTGTGAAAGGCGAATCGGATAACTCCTTTAAATACTGGGTCCGAAATAACATATTCATAGTACTTTGGGATCTAAATTTACAATAACTTAAAGGAACCACTGGTCTGAAGATGGACGAAAAGAGGCATTAGAGTTTTCGATAAGGTTACAGACAAACAACATTAAGGTAATGGCGACTAAGACTTTGGTACTGATCAGTCGATGCTTCCACCACATTTTCCATAGGCTAGCTGCCATGTGCAAGCACATTTGGGATGTTAAGAGTGGAGGAATCAGATATAAATGTGTTATCGAATGTCTTCAAACAGGTGCTGTGCACTCAAGAGTATCATTCGCTCCGAACGTAGTGATCTCGTGGTGGATTTAATGGGTTTTATAAGCAGCGGAAGGACTGGAAAAGCGAATCATGGTGATAATAGGTCTAATTTAATCCGACAGAATTCTGAATTTCAAGATATTTGAGTGAATGGGACACAAACAAGTTTAAAACGTTGCTGCGTCCAGAGGATTACAGTGGCATTTTATCCATCCATTGGGTAGGCATCACGGAGTAGTATATGAGAAACTGGTACTTTCTGTAACAAATTCTAGAGAGTAGGTATCGTGTTTAAATCGACAGTTTGTTTATTTCTTGAATTTTTCCTTGTTTCGTGTAATGACTTCTATCGATACCTGCTGAAACGATATGTTGATATTCCTCAATCTTGTTTAACTGGACCTTCAGTCTTTGAGTCTGATTAGGATGTGTCTTTATGGTTTCCAAATACACAGAGCATATCATTTTGATTTACGAATGTCGTTTCCTTTCCACATTTGTTTGCATGTTATATTTTGAGTTGACACTTAAAAAGTAGGGATAAATGGCAAATTTTTCTCTTGGGAACCAGTACTTGGTGGATTGTCGGGTGATTGTTCTGAGTCCTGTATCTATGTTTATGTATGTAAATGAACTCTGAGATATTATTGAGTCCCAGGTGTTACTTCATGCTGATGATGTGAAAATTTGGCGAGAAATAACAGGAGGCATACATCCATGACTTTGTATGTCTTCGAGATTGGATGCTGACCACATTAGTTTTAATGGACTCACCTAGCTGAAGGCTCTCGGTCATGCATCCGCACCAGATCACGAGTGAGAACACCGTGCTCAACATTTCCTGCAATCTCTGGTCAGATTAGATCAGTCGATCCACGATATATTGGTAGCCTATCAAATATATCTTCGAACCTCCTCGCTTCTGTCTTTTGATCTCACTTGGTGGGTACGATTCGTATTGTAAGGTGTTACTGGTTAAGGCGTTGTCAAACTCCGAATACCTGTGGCATCTTCATGCAGTTCAGGAGGACTTGGATGCTACTGTTCTCTGGTCTAAGAGATGGCTGGTGTTTGTCGACGCAGTCAAGTGTACCTCAGTGAGTCAGATACAACGCAGGACCAGGCACGTGTGTGTGTCTATGTGAAAATTAGGGAATCGAAAGATGAATATGTACAGCATAAGAGAAGAGTCGGTGCCCTTTATCGAGTCTTACAATGAATTCAGAGCAACAGTGAGTCATGATCTTCAGATCACGTTCTACTAACGCGTGGTGACAGCTGAGAGGTCCAGAAACGTATGGTTTTAAAAGGACATTTATCAAGTTGGATACTAACATGTTCAAAAAGTGTACACAACCTTTATGAGATCTAACCTTGAAAACTGCATTCAAGCCGCAAGCCTCTATTTCAACGGTGATTTAGATATTTTGAAAAAGGTATAGACAATAGCTACCCGCGCTATCCCAAGACCGCGGGTTTATCGTACTCCGAGCGACTTGATAAGCTGAACACCTTTACTCTGTCCTACCGCAGATCAAGAGGTGTTGTGATTCCGGCGTCCAAAATACTAAGAAAATGATTCTGTACTTGACATGTCTCATCTTTTTCTTTCCACTAAGTCGGGACAACTTCGAGAACATAGCAGGAGAGTACAAAGGACATGAACGAACAGAAAACACGAGGCATATTGGTTTTCAATCTGAGTCATCAATTCTTGAAAGTGGTTACCCAATGAGTTGGTGTCCTAGCCTCTAATTGGGTGATTCGAAAGAAGACTAAGCATTCTCAGAGCGCCTCCAATCACTTCAGCATTACACATTAGATTTTATGCGTCTTAGAGGTGACCTTCTGATGGCTTACAGTATCCTTAACACTTCTGGACAACCCCTTGAATATCTACTTATGCTTAGTCCCAATCCGAAAAGCTTATTCCGTTATGCAGCTACTATTCGTCAAGTCAAAACTGGAGTTTCTCATCTGCTATGTCCTAACGGCTCGACCGATAATGTCGGTGATGCCGCTAACCTTCTGTCTGAGCGATACTCCCGGACATTTCAACCGACCCACATCAACTATACTGATGACGGCTTCACCTGCAACTGCACAGGACTTTCCGTAGTGAAACTGAGCGCTGACTTGGTGCTCGAAAAACTGCAGCACCTAAGAATGGTCAATTCTTCTGGTCCAGATATGGTCCACTCTGATATACTGAGGGAAGCAGCTTCAATCCTGACAGCACCGCTTAGCGTGATGTTCTCACACTCGCTAAGTCGAGGCAAACTACCGGATAATTGGAAGCTGGCTCAAATCAGACCAATCTTCAAAGGAGATCGACGCAGTGAACCTTCAAGTTACCGACCATTGGCTATTTTATCTATACCTTCAAAGATCATGGAGTCCCTGCTTTACGATGGTGTACACGACTATCTGCTTTCCTTAAATTTCTTCTCACCCCGACAGCGTCGTTTCAGGAAGGGTTACTCCTGTATGACGAACCTGCTGACTGTGGTGGACAGATGGACAAGCATCGTTGATCGCAAGGGGAAGGTGGATATCATTTACCTTGATTTCTCTAAAGCTTTTGATAGGGTTAACCACACATAACTTATTAACAAGCTCAAACAATTGGGTATCAAACCACCTTTAATTGACTGGCTCAGTTCATATCTGACAAATCGACATTTTAAGGTCAGGGTAAACTTCAATTTCTCACACGCTGTGGAATGTCCTAGTGGGGTCCCTCAGGGCACAGTACTGGGACCTCTTCTCTTCCTGATTTATATAAATGATCTTCCTCAACAGGTAACGTCAGACATATTGCTCTTTGCCGATGACGTGAAACTTTGGAGAGAGATACGCAACCAAGAAGATATACAGGCAATTCAGGAGGATCTGACCCGACTTCAAATTTGGGTAGACGACAACGGACTTAACTTTAACACTTCAAAGTGTAAAGTAGTTCATCTGTGACACGTCGCAGATTTCAGTTACAACTTAGGAAACTCCTGTCTAGTAGTATCCCGAGTCGAAAAAGATTCAGGAGTTCTGGTGCCCTACGACTTAAAGTCTTTAGCCAAATGTGACAGAAATGCCTTTCGAGCAAACCTTGCACTGGTAACATTGAAGCGCATTTTTGGTCAGTTTGACGAGAGAACTTTCCACATAATCCTCAATAGTTTCATTCGTCCCTATTTAGAGTACGGAAACATAGTATTCCCTCCTACACTCCAAAAGGATAAGGACATTCTGGAGCGTATCCAACGGCGAACCACGAGATCAGTTCGAGGACTCAAATTTAAACCTTGCTATGAGCGCCTCCAATCACTCGACCTTTACCCATTAGAGGACAGGCGTCTTAGGGGTGAACTTCCAATGGCTTACAGTATCCTTAACAATCCTAGACATCCTCTTAAACACCTATTTAAGCTTAGTCCCAACACTAACCTAAGGGGTAACACCCAGAAATTAGAGATACAACATAGCAGAACGGACTGCAGGCACAACTTCTACTCCTTAAGAGTTGTCAAACGCTAGAATTCGCTGTCGGCTGGGCTAGTCCAAGAAACTTCCCAGGAGTCGTTTAAGAGGCGAGTTGATCTATTCTTAAGGACTAAAGATATTATCTTACTATGATTTACCAATTTCCTTTTTTCGCTTTTATGGTTATTATACCTAGGTTCCTGCCTGGGGGTATTGGTGATCCCCTGCTACTAGACACGGAAGCCTGTCAAGCGAAAGCTTCTTCTATTCCGTCCACAACCATTTGAACCATTTGAGCCTAGTAGTAAAGGACCAACACAGGTCAGAGGGCTTCTTTCCTCACTACACAAATCTGAATCTAATCTGAATGTGAAATATAGATCATTACCTAGTCATTGGTAATAGAGATGTTGAGCCGTTAGTTGAAAGATCCTTACTTTCTGTTCACAACTAGCCGAACTATTTGAGTGAGATTCGTGTGACCTTGTCATCTGAATGCGCTAATCTGAATCTTACCCTGTGTAGTTCCTCGTTCGAGTTTTAAATTGTTCTAACCTCCCTAAATGCTGTCCGCTGCTTTAATTGTTGAAAGTAAGTTCATTTTGTCCACTTGTTGGATTTTCGGCACTTTGATTACAGTAATGAAAGTGAACGACCTTGAACGGGGGAATTAAAATGTGGTTAATGATAGAAGTACAGTATGTGGACGTATCAGTCCGATTTTGGCGTGAAATGCATTCTTATGTTCTTGTAACGGGTTGAAATATCTGCTTCTAGTTTTAATTCGAAGTTTTTTTGATATGAGTCTTGTGCTGTTTGTGATTGTATAATATATAACTTCTAACTATAGCTAGATGTATTTAAATACATTAATTGAATCATTATACGAACTATAGTTCGTACACACCGTACCCCCTGGCTGGACGCGAACCACTGCAGTTCTGTTTTTGATGAGAACTGCATTATCTCATGTAAATATCCGTTATTCATTCTGGAACTGTGTACCAGCCATGAATATAACAATCTTCTTGCATAGACCGCCTTAATATTTTTCGTGTTTGCTGAGAAGCAGTCCGAGGTGAAGGATCTTGGTTCTTTATATTTTTTACTTCCACCGGATTCTCATTGAAAAAGTCATATAATTATAATTTTTGAACAGTTTTAACATAAATTAAGAACCGATATGTGTATGAGATGTTAGTGTACTAGCTATAATGCAATGATGCTTCTTGACCATTGAGGGGAATGAATTACACACCAAAAATCTGTGTGGTCCGTCTGTTTTTTAGTTCTGGCACTTTTCCTCATGCTCTCTACACTTCTAGGTTTTGTCACATGTTGCATTTCACATTATGCCAGTAAACAACGTGCCTTCACACTAGATACAAACGCTTCATTTACCTAATGCTATTGAACGCCTTTTCTTATGGGGTTGAAGGCTCTTCCATGCGTTGAGTCAACGTATAACCGATATCTCTTTATTGCGACGTGGGTTTATGAAGCAAGAGAAGATGTATTCTGAAGAATATTCCTCTTTCAGGACTCTTAAGAAGGAAAAAATCCACTTGACTTCAAGAACAAGACTAAGTCAACTCAGTGACTCAGACTGTAAGAGAAAACTATTAGTATACTAATCCATCGGTAATTTAAGACTATCAGTCACAGCTTGTGATACTTAACGACTACGAGTCTATCGGTGGTTGAAAATGTCGGCAGTTGAATTATCAACTGCATTAGGACGTCTCTCTAAATTAAGTTTTGCTAAGATTAGGAAACCTTTAAGTATCAATGGTGTTAAAGAGCAACTGAAAATCCCGTTATATTTGGAGTAATGATGTTGCCTAAATGTTATTGTTATCAGTAGATATTTTATGAGTAAAAGGGATGGTAATCTTGTGACCGAATTTAGATTAGTGTTGGGCTTGTAGTGATTTTCGTTATTTTGAAGTTGAAACCTCTACGCGATATATTTTCTCTCTGAAGAGCGTTTTTGCCATTTGTTGTAGCTACCACATATTTCTACGCGTTTGAAAATTGAAGTGGAATGGAGATATCTATGTTCGATCCTTGTTTTGGAATTGATTTTAAGGTCGAAGAACCAGTAGAGTTAGATGACCTAGTTATAAAGTCGTCACAAAAATTAATGTCAAAAGATGTAAATGTTGTTCCTGAAAAATGTATAAAAGGTAGGTAATCATTATTATTATCATTTTATTTGTGAGATGCATATTTGTCCATCGACAGTCGTTACTAGAGACTAACATGTAAGAACTTGTTTGTAGGAAATATACCAATATTCGGTTCTTAATTAATTCTAATGATTGTCACATGAAACGTTACTCGTATGCTCATCAAACACAGCCGTGTACTTCCATGTCGCTTCGTGCATGTTCACAATCTCATTCATCTGTAACTACACGTAACAGCACCGCACTCTGACCCCTACTGTTCATAAAGTAGTCCATCTAGGTCACTCACGACAAAACACAGACGACCTCGCCTGTATTTTACAATTTCATTGGTTTCGAGATAACTATTAAAACATATACTCACTCCTTGTTAAGTATTTTGCAATTTACTCAACAGAAATCTGTCGTCACTAACAGACTAGGAAACCACGATGTTAGTTGTAAGCTACTCAACGATCAGTGATTGTTGATATGTTTTAAGTGATATCGTATAAGGTCTTCAGCCGTTGATACTTTCGCGCTCTAATCTAATATTTAATACTTTAAACGAGACTGATTTTATCTTTTTCCCTGCTCTTTAATCGGAGTGAGAAGCCCAGTTCTTAGTAAAAAAGCTTTGTTGATGAAGACCTATGAAGAATTAACTTACATTTAAGTTAATGCAGTTATAAATCGATTCGTTGATTATAATTTATAGAATTTTATCAACTGAGTAATTTTCACTGAATAAGGAATCACAATGAAATAATAAGTACATGGGAAAATGCACTAGAAATCAAACAAGTGCTGTGTTTGCAGAGATTATGATTTCAGCTAATCGGAGAACGGAACAAAGACTCTGTGACACAATGACAGAAAAACTAGCTATTCCGATGCGTCCAAGCCCAGCTAACTAGAGAGAGAGAAGTCCGAATTCGGAAGAGGGAAATATATTTTGACTTTTCATTCTGTCATATCAACAACTAACAGATTGATGAACAACCGATACTAGTGAAAACAAATCGAACGTTAATTAGTAGGACCCACTTTGAATAAACAATTGTAACTAAGAGGAGTTGCAAGTTGACTGAATAAAAATAATCTCAGATCGATCTATAAATTGACTCTTTGCACATTGCATTTGGGGATTTCACACCCCTGACAACCATAATTGACAATCATATTGTTGACCGCACTAGTTATTATACTATATTCCTATAAATTGTCACTTCTGTTTAGTGGAAGACCATAATTTTGGTAACCCTGCTGATGCTAACTTGTATATAATACATATATAGCGCGAGTTATCATACTCTTTCCCAGTTGATAAACGTACCTGAATTCTGAGTTTTGGATGCATGCAGATTTGGTTTAAGAAGAACAGTGTGTAGACTATATATGTTTACTAGTGTGGAGCTTCTCTCATAAGTCAAGTACAGATGCAATAAGTTTTTCTGTTTTTCTGACGAGAACATGGAGAAAGACTTCTCGACCTTGAGTATGCGGATAATATTGTCATACTGTGCGATAATGCCCAAGCCATGCAATCCGCATTTTATCAGTTGGGAATCAGTGTCTGTATGTATGTTATGTGCTTTGCACCTTCGAAGTGCAAAGTACCTCTACAAAACTGGCAGGATTCTAATCCTGTTCTAACTCTGGATGGTGAGCAGATAGAAGTAGTCGAGAAGTTCGTGTATCTGCATAAGTAATGGTGGTGGTGTGAGTGATGAGATCAATGCACATATAGTGGAAGCCAGCACGGATACAGAAGGCTCGACTAGCTTTTGCCAACATGCGTCATTTGTGGCGTAAGCGAGATATCCGTCTATCAACGAGAGGACGTGTTTACTGTGCAGCAGTTCGTTCCGTCCTACTTTATGGCAGTGAAACATGGCCAGTAAGAGTAGAGGATATTCGTAGGTTACTAGTATTTGACCATAGGTGTCTTCGAAACATTGCTCGTATATCCTGGGACCACCGAGTAAGTAGTGCAGTTGTTAGTAAACGGGTACTAGGTAAGGATGGCAAATCAATTGATGAAGTAGTGAAACTTAATCAGTTGAGATGGCTGGGATATGTGTTACGTATGCCCAACCACCGACTGCCCTGACGTACGATGTTTTATGGTGTAGCAGTAGGTTGGAAGAAAGCTAGGGGTGGCCAGACCAAAACATGGCACAAATCCATAAAGTCACTGACAAGTGGACTGAGCCATGTTGGTAGATGTAGACTACTTGGTTGGGGACCGCGAGATGATAACAACCGATGGTTAGAGACCCTGAATGAAATGGCTCAAAATCGTTTGCGATGGCGCAGGTGCATCCACTCTTTGTGTTCTCTCAAACTCTAATCTTCTGAATTCTTCATGTCCTTTATTTTCTTTCCAAATCTATTCCACTGGACTATACTCCTTAAATAACATCATCAAACCCTAATGTTCCCTATCACTACCTCTACCACTACGGGATTTGAATCGATAACTGAAACTCTGTGCTAATGTGGTATGGCAACTCGATCTGATGTACGTACGTACGAAGTTCCACGTTGTTACTGACTGACTGACTGAAAGCCAGAGCGACTCATGCCAATCTGGGCCATCTTTGGCTCCTTCGTGGTGTTAGTCTGGCGATCGAAACTAGGTGAACAGATTGACTCTACAAAGCCAGACATAATCGCAGTCACAGAAACCTGGTTGACACAGTCTATAGATATTATAGAACTTGATTTTTAGGATTTCACTTTAGTAAGGGCCGACAGAATACATAAGCGTAAAGGAGGGGGAGTAGCTCTATTCATTAGGAATGTTATCGCATTTGTCATTATTGACAGTGTATCCCATGAAAGTGGGACGTGTGAATTGGTTAGTTGCCACTTGAAATGAAAGGGACAAGAGTTGCTGATTGGTTTGTTCTATCGCAGTCCAAGCTGTGGGGTAAATGATGTCCTGTTAAACAGGCTCAATAATTGGTCGCAAAGCGGTCAATTTCTAATCCTAGGGAACTTTAATGCATCTATGGTAGACTGAGGAAATCTACGAACTGAATCGTCAGATAATTCCTTCGAGCAGGAACTAGTTGACGCGGTTATAACATGTGCCCTAGTGCAACATGTGAAAAAAGCGACTAGGTACGACCCGGACACTGAATCATCCTTACTAGATCTTATATTAACTCACTATGAGGATGACGTTGAGAACCTCCATTACATGCCACGCCTAGGTAAAGATGATCACGCAGTTTTAACTTTTGACTTCCATATAACTGTCAATCACAAGCACGCGTCAGCTCAATCCAGACCTAACGTCTGGAAAGCAAACATACCAGATATCATGCACTCAGCATCGTTAGTAGATTGGAAATTAGACCCAGAGTCCTCAATTGAAACGGCTTGGGACGCGTTCCGAAATTTATACTTAAAAGTTACCGCACCCCAGACTGTCCTACCCCATATAGCCGGTGACGACCGACCACCAAATGAGGCGGAAGTCCTCAAGGAACTCCAACTCTTGAGACGCTACAAATAACCGGGCCCAGACAACTTACCTTCAGCTCTTTTTAAAGATGGTGGTGACTTTCTGACTAAGGGACTGACGACGTTGTTTACAAAGGTCTGGGAACTAGAGAGTGTACCAACGTCATGGAATGAGTCGATAGTTGTCCCTATCTTTAAAAAGGGTTCACGTCGTTCCTATAACAACTATCGGGGGATAAGCCTACTTCCAATTGCGTCCAAGCTATTGGCTTCCGTCATACTTCGTAGGTTGTTCAAAACCCGAGAAAAATCGTTCTGGTCGAGGATGTATTGATCATATCTTCACTCTCCACCAAATGTTAGAACACCGTCATACTTATCAAAGGCCAACAATCGTAGTGTTTCTTGATATCAGGGCTGCCTTCGATTCGTTCGATAAGACTGGTCTCTGGGATTGTCTATTGAAGAAGGGTGTGCCTGAGAAGTTTATTAACATCCTAAAATCCCTATACACAAACACCTCAGGCAGAGTGAGGGCATACAACCACCTTTCTCCATTGTTCCATTCAAGCAGTGGAGTTAGGCAGGGATGCCCAATCTCACTATTCCTCTTCAACTTTGCCATCGATAACATTCTGGAAACAGCTCTGGCGGATGTAAGTAATGGTGGTGTGGATCTGTTGCCTGGAGAAAGACTTCTCGACCTTGAGTATGCGGATGATATTGTCTTACTGTGCGATAATGCCCAAGCCATGCAATCCGCATTGAATGATTTGGTAAACAATATCCGTTGGTATGGTATGTGCTTTGCACCTTCGAAGTGCAAAGTACCTCTACAAAACTGGCAGGATTCTAATCCTGTTCTAACTCTGGATGGTGAGCAGATAGAAGTAGTCGAGAAGTTCGTGTATCTGCATAAGTAATGGTGGTGGTGTGAGTGATGAGATCAATGCACATATAGTGGAAGCCAGCACGGATACAGAAGGCTCGACTAGCTTTTGCCAACATGCGTCATTTGTGGCGTAAGCGAGATATCCGTCTATCAACGAGAGGACGTGTTTACTGTGCAGCAGTTCGTTCCGTCCTACTTTATGGCAGTGAAACATGGCCAGTAAGAGTAGAGGATATTCGTAGGTTACTAGTATTTGACCATAGATGTCTTCGAAGCATTACTTATATATCCTGGGATCACCGAGTAAGTAATGCAGTTGTTGGAAAATAGGTATTAGGTAAGGATGGAAAGTCAGTTGATCGAGTAGTGGAACTTCATCAGTTGAGATGGCTGGGACATGTGTTACGTATGTCCAACCACCGATTGCACCGACGAACAATGTTTCATGGTGTAAGAGTAGGTCAGAAGAAAGCTAGGGGTGGCCAGACCAAAACACGGCACAAATCCATCAAGTCACTGACAAGTGGACTGAGTCATGTTGATAGGCGTAGACTACCTGGTTGGGGACCGCGAGATGATAACAACCGATGGTTAGAGACCCTGAATGAAATGGCTCAAAATCGTTTGCGATGGCGCAGGTGCATCCACTCTT